CCCCAAACCCCTACTCTTATCACATCCAACTAAAACCATCCCCCCTCCTCTGACAGGCCTTCCTTCTACCTGTCCAGAGCCCTCTCCACCACATCCCCCTTTCCCTCACCACCCATCCTGCCTGCCTTGAGTCATCCATCTACTGTCCTTAAAACTAGGACTCTGCACCTGCTCCCACCCCCAAATAGGTCTCTAAGCCCCACCATCCATCATTCCATCTCTTCCCCAGCAAATCCTCCATGCCTTTGTGCCCTTTGCCCCCCTCCCAAGGACTGCCTTAATCAGTTGCTACCTGTGGAAGGTGGATGCCCTCAAAGGACATGCAGTGCTCTTCAGAGGACGTAGTCTCGGCAAACAGCTCCAGGAGGGTGTAACGACTGTCAAAATCCATGTGTTGCTCAATGCCATCCTGCTGGCTCAGGGACAGGAGGACATAGGCCCGACTCCCTGCAAGCATAACAGACACCAACTTAATGTTTCTTCATGGAGGGTCATCCACACCAATAAAGAGAATCAGACGCAACATACACAATACCACAACCCGTGACCACCTACTCCCCTTGTCTTGGGAGTTCTGAAAGCCTGACACGTCCAAGCCCCTTTCAACAATCACCAAGGCACCAAGCAATCCTAAGCCTAAAAGAATTCAGAGAAGTCATGGCACATGTTGGATACAATGACCAGACTTTTTTTCCCCATATTAAGGGGCCAAATAAATCTAGAGAGAAGTCTAGGATAGCAAGTTTCTTTACTGCCCCAGAAAGAGCCACAACAAAACAAAAGCTACCAAAATTTAGCAGTTAAATGAGAGCAGGCACCTGAAAGCACTTACACTAGCATTAAAGCTGACCCAGAAAGTAAAATCAAAGTCTTGTTTGAAAGCTTTTGCTTCAGTTAAGAAAGCAGTCTGAGCCACATTCTCCTCTCCTCCAAAACCATCAGTTCTGCTATTTCATATGAGAAATTCACAGGCCCTTCTGGCCTGCAGGATGGACTGGAGGACAAGAAGACAAGTGAAGGCTGAATCTCTTGAGACAAGAGAAATGCGATCATTGTTTAACACACTTTCATAAGCTCTCCTTGTAATGATTAACATGCTGAGGAAAAATGTCTCTTAAATATTTCAATACTCATGGTTTCAGTTACGTAAAAGCTCACAAATTCAGCCAATCCTCCTGAAAAAATAAAACTTATACTGCTGATATTTGTAAAATCAAATTAAAACCAGTAAGAAAGCAGCTTTGTTTTGGATACAGCTCTCTGAAGTCTGTTTTACATCATAAACAAACCAAAAAGATCATTAGAGCAGGTCTTTTAAAAGCCTTTGCAATTCACTTCATAGGTGACACTAGCATTTCAAAAGTCTGCTGTGACCTTCTGAACACTTCTCTGGAGATGCCACTTCTCATGCCTGGAAATTTCTGAGCACATGTGCAACGTTTAAAAGCAGCTGTTAGAGCTGCTCACGAGTTAATCACACAGCCAAAAAATAACTCAATATGTTGTGAACAGCTCTATGGACACACAGGTAAGTAAACCTTAACATCATGTAAGCTGTCAGCCCTTTGCTCCTTATAGAATTGAAAATGTGTTAAGACATCTTCAAACAGCTAAAAGTTTGAGAAGACTCAATGAGGTACAGGTTGTACATATTGTATGCAATGCCCTGCCTCTCTCCACCCAAACCCATGCTGCCCTCTTGACAGTGCAGGGGGAAGCTGGTGCAAGCACACTGCAGAATCCTTAAAAAGAGACAGATCAAAGGCACAGGCTTGTTCCCACTGATGTCAATGAGGGCAGGGTTAGACCAAATATTTTTCTGTTTCATTAACTTGAAAACAAATCATCTCCTGAACCCAACAGCAACAGCACAAAGAACGGAACTGAACGCATTGAGCTGCACAAACAGACCTTCCACCAGACTGGGACACAAACTCCAAGTCTGGTCAGAATCAGTGTAATATGTCAACACACAGGAAGGAAAGACACAAAAAATAGGACAAGGCAAGGGGGAGACTGGAATGCCCAGGACAAGAGGCATCATGGTAGAACAAAGACATCGTGGAAATGTAAAACAGAGGCAGAAATACGAGCCATCAAAATGACACAGGAAGCCACAATTAACTGCTGCACAAAACCATCAAAGTTGGAAGATAATAGTGAAGGCCCTATGTTCCAAATGGCATAAAAATGACAGTTCTGGCACAAATGAAAACCTGATATTATGCAGGGGGCAGCTGATGCAACAAGAAATATTAAACCCATCCTACAGATAATGCAGTACACTCCTCTGTTGTCTGTTACATATTGACCATACTGAAAACTGTCTCCTCCCTATACAACAGTAGTCACCAACCAATCCATCGCAATCAACTGGTCAGAGCCTCCAACAGCCGATCTCAGTCTAGGGGAGTTGAGCGCACATGCATGCACAGATCAGGGGTCACGCACCTCCCGGGATGCACACAGTGGCAGGAACCCCCCAGTGCCTGGATGATCACCTGGGCTCCCATCATCCCACCACTTGCCCTGGCCAGGCCCCCCATTCACCGCAGCCCCTGCCCCACTCCCTCCCTCACCATGGGGACCTCGATTTTCCCCTACCCCTTCCCTCCCTCACAGACTGAGCACGCGGGGTGTGGGGGCCATGGCACACGGTAGATCTTGGATTGCTCTTTAATTCAAAAAGTGATCTGGTACTTTAAAAGGTTGGAGATCACTGCTATACACACTACCCATCCTATACTCATGATCAAGGATTCTGGTGTTCTCTGTTTAAAAACTGCAGATTCTTTGATAAAACCCCCAAAATTCTCTGATTTAAAAAACCCAAAATCTATGTTTTTGCACAATTAAAATTAAATATCACTCTATATATAGGGATTAGTTGAACATAATATTTTATTGATATATTTATATTTTTAAAGCAATCTGGAAGGCTACCGGTGCCTCAATCATTATAAAAAATAAATTATAAATACCTATATATTTTGGCATTTGATTTTGTTGGGTTTTTTTTATCATGGAAAATCAGAGCTCCCCCTGCCCTCTTCACTCACCAGGATGCAGGTCCAGCTGCAGCTGCCCCCCATCCACTGCTCTGTGGTGCTGAGCAGCCCTGATATGCCACTGCCCTGCCCCTGCCCATGCCATTGCCCCTCACTTTGAAGTCACAGCCCCCCAGCCTTGCCAATGCCCCTTACTTCCACTCCACAACCCCCTGGCCCACCAGCGCCCCTCATTCCTGACCCACAGCCCCCCCTCAACCCTGCTCCTCACTCCCTTCCCGCAGCCCCCCTGCCCTGCTGGTGTCCCTCACTCTCTTTCCACAGCCCCCCATCCCTGCTGGTGCCCCTCATTCCTGACCCACAGCCCCTGCAACCCTGCTGGTGCCACTCACTCCCAACCCGCAGCCCCCTCAATCCCTGCCACTGCCCATCACTCCCAGCTCACACGATCCCAGCCTGGCCCCACCGGCAACAGCGCGGAGCTGGGCTTTCTGGTAGCATTAAGTGCTGCCTCAGACTTGACTGCCCTGCTGCAGCCCTGGCACCCAGACTCTTCCCCCCTCCCCCACCTCCATACACCCTCTGCTCCCCACACACACACAACCCAGACAGTCCCCTGGCCCTGGCCCTCCAACCCCTCCCCCCCCTACTCCAGACTTACCTGTATCCAGCTGCCAGAGCTGCTCCCACCACGCTGCCTGGCTGTGTGCCGACCACACGCATGCATGTGCACATACACATGTGGTGCCCCCTGCCTTCAATCATCCTCTTCCCAGTCCTCCCACCCCCAAGCAGTCCCTTGCAGGCTGAAACTCTCCCAGCCTATAAGAGGAACTCTGCTATTTCCTACAGTTTCCTCCTTTAAAGGAGAAAATTTGCATTTTTCCGTAGCAAACTGAAAACTCAGATCCCTGCTCGTGATACCTAATACTAACTTTTTGCACAGGAGAACCAACTCCTCCAACAAAAGGAGCCAAGCTCTCTCTGGAAGCTCTTGGAAGTGATCAGGTATCTCCTCCTCTATAAGTTCTATTCTCCATCTTAAGTAATTTACTGCTATGAGATTTCAGAGATCAAAGCCAACCACATATAGGAACTACACCCTTTTTTCATCTTCCTAGCCATAGAAGGCCTCTCAGTATATCATCACTATCCAGGGTCATCACAAAAAAATTTACTGCATCCATCAACAAGAGCACTAGGGAAAATAAGTTTAGCTTTACAGTTTAGCTGACTGAATTGATTTAGCTAAACTGTAACAATACTGCACCAGGCTGCAACAGCTCCATATAAATACAGTGAGATTTGCTTGGATGAGGTTGATGCTTTCACGTTTTTCCTTAGATCTAGATTGATCTTTTACTTCCTTCAACCTTTGGGAAAAAAAAAAGACTCCAGAAGGAACTGCTGAGGCTTGACTGTGTCTAGCTCGGATACAAAAGCACAGCACACCCTGGACCTGATAGAAGTGTCAGCGCTTGTGTTACCTCTCAGCTCTGCTTTCTTGGGAAACCCTGGCACAGGATGCAGCCTGTCTGACTCGCAAAGAACTCCCCCTCCCCACCTCTGCCTGAACAAGAACTGATTAGAGGAAGGACTTACAACAGACAAAGAAGATGCAGTGGGAGATGACACACTTAAAGCCCTCCAGACAAGGGTGATAAGAGTGAAGCAACTCCCCGGTCTCATTTGCATCCACGATGGAACCAGATGACAACTCATTTAAATGGGAAATGGAACAGGCATGCACCTTCATTAGCATTCAGGATGGAGAACAGAGATTCCAAGGCAAGGACCGCACTGAATTCTGGGATCAGAAAAGCAGGGGAGCACTGCATGATGGGGAATCCTTGCTCCAAATGCTAATCAACCCACACCCAGCTCAGCATTTATCAGACCAATTCTAGTAATGACTCCTCTATTGGTATCCAAAACGCTGAATCTGCCTGTCTATATTGTGAGCTCCCTCAGAGAAATGCCATCCATGTCCGGAGTGATCAGTTCCTAGTATCCAGCATATGAGCCATCATTTACCCCTAAACAAACCTAGTGCTCTCCCTTGAGCCATTGTTAGTCCTCTACAAAAACCCCTACCCAAGCTCAAGTTTGGGTCCTGGTGCTTGGATCCAAAGCTGCACCAGTTCCACTCCTTTTCTGCCTGGAATCTCTCCATTAATTGTGGTCAGAACTGTGCCTGTCTGCCAGCTCCAACAATACCTGGGAACTTTGACTGGTTCAAGCTTCGCTGAGTGGTGAGATCCCAACAGTCTCTGTCTCCAGGAACCTGACTTTTATTCCCTTACTCCAGGCACAGCTTTCTAAACCTGACTTTTGCTAATCAAACTCACGCTAGACTTCCCCAAAAACCTAATTGAAATTATGTAATATTATAACTTTTTATTTGTCTCTCTCTCTTGTATGGCTATTATTACTGGTATCATCATAAGTTCATATACCTGGCAATATATAACTTTAATGGTCAAGCTGGTTGCTATACTTTCTCTCTGAACCTCACCTGCTCCTTCTTCCCCTTGACCTCCCCATTTGCTCTGCAGCAATGCTTCTTTTACCTAAGCCAAAGATCCCTGTAATGCCCCAAACCACAGTGGGGTCTGCTCATCAAGGGGGTTACTACTAGGACCATTGTGACAAGAGATTGTGACGTGCTGAGTTTTGAGGCACACAAGGGTATCAGCTGAAAGTGCTGATCGGACCCAGCCTGCTCAGACGTACTCCGTTAGCATGTATGTGTCTAACTGCATTTATTATAGTCCTAATGAACTGAGTTCAAGGCACATGAGGGTGTCAGCCTATCAATGCTGAATAGTTCGGCCTGGCTCAGATGTGCTCTGTTAACCTGTGTGCTTGAGTCTGACTGCATTTTATTGTTGCCCTGATGAACTGAGTTCAAGGCATATGAGGGTGTTAGCCTGTCAGTGCTAAATAACCCAGGCATATCCTGTTGATCTCTGTGTATATGTGCATACATATGTTTGACTGATTCAGTGGCTGGAGGAACCCAGTCCATTGAAACTGAGTCCTGCAAGATAGCTCCATTGGGGGTGAGGACTTGCAGAAGGGAGAGATACAGCTCCATATAGAAACACAAGTAACACAAGCAGCACATTGATAGAATTATAGATACCCCCAGAAACATACCCCTAATAAATGAGCACTCCCCAAAGTGACGGGCAAATCTGGTAACACTTGTGTATGTAAACTCCTGCCCTTAGTAAGGATTTTCCAGTCAATCAAGCCCTTTTCAAGAGGTACTTTCCAAGAGTACTATTACCCTTGCCAAACTGAACTCCATATGATCAGAAAATTATACCCTATTACCTCCCAGTACACTTTGGCTGTTTGGAAAGCACCATCTGCAAAGCTCCCCCATATCTACCACAAGCACCATGAAGCACCAGCTTTCCAGCAAGCTGACACTATCCAAACATGCCCTAGGGTTCTGTACAGGGCCGCTCACCAAGGGGTCTTACCTGCATCATGCGAAGCCAAGGCTCTTAGCATTTTGCCAGCACTGCGCCGGATTTGCTTCTCCTCATTACAAAGCATTTTCATCAGCAGGTCCAGAGCCCCCGTCTCCTTGAAGACACCTGTCAGTGAACCAATGCTGGCGTAGGCACTCAGCACATGGATGGTGTTGAGGATGGAGGATGCTGGGCCCATAGCCCTAGCCATTTGCCGGCCAGCCCGCTGCACCAGGCTCCTGACATCTTCCTTCATTTCCAACAGCGAGGCCTCATCCAGCGTGACATCCGAAGGAAACGTGCTGGGTGCCTTCTCCTCCTTCACTCGCTGGCCTTCAGGCTTCCTCTTGCCCAGCAGCGTCGGGCAATTGGCATAGACCTCCTCTGCTGACATCCACATCAGGATGTTCTCCGTTTTGCTCTCTGTGGAAGAGGCATTGGTGCTGCTCCCCGTGCCCTCCTCCAAGCTGAGGATGCTCCAGCGAATCAGGTACTCCGTGTGGCCATCATGGCCCCGGCGCTGACGGATCAGCTCCTCAGGGTAGGCCTGCAGCTTGGCCCCCAAGTGCACAAGCAGGTTTCCATTGCGCCTCTCACTCACCATGACAGGGAACGTGGCTGCAGAGAAAAGGGGAGAAGCAGGTTACAACCCCTAGAGACAGCTCCTCTGAGAACACCCCAGCCAGGTGCTCCAGGGAAAAGGCTTCTCAGATGAAGAGTCTCCACACCCAGCTGACAGAAGAAAATCTGGAGATGGACCAGCAACCAAGACTCATGCAATTCTGCAACCCAGGTGAAGTCTTTGTAAGGAAAGTCCCAGTCAGGAGCTCCTGGAGTCCCAGCACCAATGGAGCAAGGGCCTCTTTTTTTTTTTTTTTGAAAAAATATATTTCTCTCTCTATATATATATATATATATACACACACACACATATGCATACACACACATCGCTTAGCAAAAGCTTTTCTTCATGCACCTTAAACCACATTTAAAGGTTTATTGCATGTTCAAACCTAAAGCCCCTGAGGAGCCCGGGAACCCTGATCTCAGGAGGCAGACAGCAAAACTCCCTGGGACAGCCAGCAGGGAAGACAGAAAAGGTTTATAAGTTCATCACATGGATGGCAGCACAATCATACAGGCAGGGCACTGAACTGGGACTCAGGAAACCTAAGCTGGGGTTCAGTCCTCCTGCTGTGTGGTCTTGGGCAACTCACCAGCTAGGTTATCCTCCAAGTGTGCCACTACCCTTCTATGGACAGCCTGATCTTTCCCTCACTCCAAAAAATCTTTTTCTTTGCAGTTGGTGCTGCCACCTAGAATAGTTCATCTGCATTGATCCGTTTCTATGATATCTCATGTCACATACTGCTTGACAAGACCAAAGCCATATACTCTGTGCCAAGACCCCAGGTTCTGCAACAGCCTCCAAAAAACTGAAAATGTCCTTTATAGAATTAAATGCAGAAGTGGGTAAAGTCTAAGGGATACCATGCCAAATGGAGGCCCCCATCTATGGCTTCTTAACTAAAGTTAAGTTTTGCCCTTAACACGGGGAATTAACTCATAGTTACAACAAAAGGTCCAGCATGCCCCCCCCACCCCAACACTTTTACAGTATTTACTCTTGAAACACAGAATAAACTTTACATCAGCTCTAAAAAAATACAGTCTCTGTGCCAGTTTTGTCCTAAGTGAACTTAATGACACAACAAGACTTCAAACTGCCTTACAGTTCACAGTAGCATAATTTTGTAAACCTTATACAAGCTAACTACTTTAAATAATTGGGCAAAGCTATTAACTAAGGTCCTGGTATTGTAAATGCTGTAGTCTTATGATAGCTTATAGTAGTAAAGTTAAACATAGAGGTATTTGAAGATTGAGGTTACATATTGTTTTATTTAGGTGTTTGTGATGTTTGTGCAGCGCCTAGCACAGTGTGGTTCTGGTCCATAACTGGTACAACCAGGTACTAGTGTAGCACAACTGATTATCATTCAGGTAACTTCTATTCTGTCATTTGCAACACCAGAAGTAACTTGTGAAAGAAGGATTAAGTTACCTCAAACTCAACAGTTTAATTGGTTGTAGGACCTCAGTGGAAAGAGTCTGACTGGCCCAGTAGTTCTCAATGTACAATTGCTCTACAGAAAACTAGTAGAGCAATTCTTTTCTTGTTAAGAACTCAGGAAGACCACAGCAGATCAAAATGTTTTTGACACTATGCATTCCTATCTGCAATCTCTGGGTTTATGTTGTGAATCATGTTTGCACACCTAACATTGCTTGTATCACTCTTGAAAAGCTCTCATGGCATAAGAGTGCCATAGGACCCTGGCTGAGAATCACTGGGTTGAACACAAGTGTGCAGACTGCTTGTACACAGGTACCCTGACCCAGCCATCACAGCTCTCTGAAAGCTCTGGGCTGCATGGCACTCTGAAGTTAGGGAGAGTGGGGCCAAGAACACAGCACGAACCCTTAGAATGGAGAGACACAAAACTTGGAGACCAAGCCTCCTGCTGCCCTAGTCTTCTCACAGCATCCAGCCAACATAGGCCACCTGAACAGTCAGTTGCAAATTAAAAGCTAGTCTGTTATCTCCAATATTGGTCCAGATTTGTGCAGTTATTTTGATATGAAGCATCAAACTTAAGCTATGAGACTGCCAAGAAGCATTCCTTGGAGAATGCTTGTTTACAGTGTTACAGGGGTATAGGTTGTAGCTGTGTTGGTCTAAGGACATAGGCAGACAAAGTTCTTTGGGTAAATCTGATATCTTTTATTAGACCAACCCAAATAGTTGGAAAACTTCTTCTTTGGTGTGAAGTGCACACACCAACTGCAGAGGCTTCCTCAGCCTGATGAAGGGTATTTATACCCGAAAGCATGCAAAGAACTTTTCCAACTATTTGAGTTGGTCTTAAAAAAGATATAAGATTTACTCAAAGAACCTTGTCTGTTTAAAATGTATCATCTCAAAGAAAAAAAAATGCCCAGACTAAACATAATCTGAAGCTATGATTTCAACGTAACATAATGATAACTTAAAGGAAGGAAAAACATTAGAGGTTTACTATGCACAAACTTGACATGCATATGGTTTCTCTGTGGCAGAACGTGGCAGGTTAGGTTGTGTTGTGTCGGGGTTTTGCTAAGAGGCTAGATAATGGATTTGGATGGGATGGTTTGGATAGGGATGATCCAGCCTCAGGCAGTGGGTTGGGACTTGATGACCTGCGAAGGTCCCTTCCAGCCCTGCTTCTCTATGGGCATTTTCACATGTGCTGGCAGATGCGGTGCTGTGCACTTCAATTAGTGATCCGTGCTAATTAAAAGTGCCCAAGCGTCACATATGTCAGGATTTGCCACGTGTCCCCACACTGAAGAAATAGCGCTGGGGTGCTTTGAACTAAAGCTCAGACGTGTTTTATTTCAAAGCACCTTACCGCTATTTTATCAGCATGGAGACGTGGCAATGCTGATACAGGTGATGCACAAGGCTGCCAAAGCGCATCAACTTCCATGCTTGTTTCCAGCGCGTCAGAGCAGGCGGGATCCCCGCATGTGTGTAGGAGCCCTTAGATCTCAACCAACAGGCAAAACGACAGTTCAGCCAATAGGTGTAACTGAATACTATGAGCTTTAGCTGGCTGTTTCTTAAAGAGTTACTCTTAACGGCACAAGAACAGGCTAGCCCAAGGAAGGCACACAGGCACAGCAAGAGGCCTGTTCAATAGCATGAAACCAAAAAAGCGAAACTTGGCTATGTTACTGAGAGAGCACAAGAGCACATCCCGATCGTGCAGGGAAAGAGACAGAAAGGCCAAGGGGTAAGCTGGACGCAGCTGGGAAGAGACAGAAAAAGCGACAAAACAGCACTCCGGAAGCACAGAGCCCCGAGCCTTCAGTCTTCAAAATAAGTCAGCCCCCAGGGGACAAGCCGGGCTGGCACCACCGGCGGCAGGGGCAGCCGAGCTCCGCGGCCACTTCCCGCTCGGGCCGGGCCAGGCGCCCTCCAAGAGCGGGTGCGAAGGGGGGCCCTGCCCGAGCGGCCCGCGTCTAGACACTGGAGCCGAGGCCCGGTTCTGACTCCCGCGGGGCTGGCTCGAGCCCACCCGGCCGGGCCCGCGGCCCAGTTACCTGCTCCGGCTGCTCCCGCGCGGCTTCCGTGTCCTTCGCGCAGGCTCGGCCCTTTCGGCTACGGATCCCGGCTGGAGACAAAGCGCGGCGTTTGCGCCCGCAAGGCTCGGGGGTGCTAGGCGGGGTCGCAGCCCGCGGCTAGGGGAGGGCCACGTGGCTCCGCGCTCGCGGGTGACCTGCCCTGGCGCTGAGAGGGAGGGGTACAGACTTGGCTCGCTAGGTAAACTCAGAGGTTGCAAATAGAAATCCGCAGTGTCCAAAACGCTCTGCCCTGGGCTTCCTCGCTTCTTTGCAATAGAAGGGCTCTAGTATTTTTCTGTAGTCAGAAACCGAGTGAAAACTAAGCTGGTGTTTTCTGAGCGAGGGCCTTGAGAAGTTGAGAACCACTGCCTCAGAGCATTTGAGCTCCCTGTTAGGATTGGTAGGAACTGAAGTCCCCAAATGCCTTGGATAATGCTGGTGTTACTTACTCTGGTCATTCATTGACATGGTTCTGGCATTTCCCAAGGGGTGGAATGACGGGTGGCACCCTCAAGCCAAACAAGGGGTGCCTTAACTCTAAAAAGATTGAGAACTACTGTGTAAACAGACTATGGACAGAGTCAAATCATCACCTCTTCTTAGCCCTCACCTGACAGTGAAAAGGTATCTGGCCTCCCAGGTAACTTGATCAGTCCTCACCTCTCGGTTCACTCCAATTTGCATGCTCTGCTTTAATGCTTGAAATCAGCAGGCAAGGTATGGGGGCCTGCCAGCGTCTCACCATTCCCACTGGTAAATTATCTGGTTTGTAAACTGTCACTGCCCTTCAAAGGGTGTGTGTTAGCAGCCAAAAGGCCCCGTCACCAGCACGTTCCAACTGTTCCACACCATCCTAGAGTGGTGTAACACAGAGTATAATGGTGAGTTGGTCCTTGAAGGTAACAATACTCAGATTCTTATGTTTTCAACCACAGAGAGAGTGATCCCACTGGACACAGTTATTCTGCTAGGTGCAGGTAAGACAGCTAAGGTTTGGGGCACCTTTTCTAGTCCCTTCTCCATGTAGGATGAGCAGAGGGCATCCTGAATAGGACTGCTCAGTCAAGGTAAAAGCTGCCAAACTGCACCCCTCTTTCAGTCCAGGTGCAAGATGACCATCAGTCTACCATCACCTGCATGCAGATTGGTGGACTGGTAGATTCACTAGTCCTGTCTCCATCACCAGTGACCCATAGCCACAGGACTTTTGGAGGTTGATACATGAAACTATGGTTTCCTGTGGTAGAAGCTTGCACCTCAGTATATTTAACATGAGGAAGCTAGTGCACAGAAGCAGCAACCACACAATCTTGGCAAGTTAGAGATCCGGGCCCAGTGGCAAAGGGGAGCCCTAGATGACAGGAGACCTCCATCTTGCTGCAGCCTTCTTTCATCTTTATAGCCGTTGAACTTCTGACATTTTCTTCCTCCTGATCCACTGTTGAGGACTTGGTGTTGGACAGTGGTTTGTCTGGAACCTCCCCTAAGGCCTGTTTGCCATAGGTGACCCTGCCAGGAGTGTGAGATTCCAGATGTGAAATGTGGGTGATCTACTGTTGTCATCTCAAGAGTCTGGAGAGGTGTCACCAACGATACCTCCAGAAAATCCTCCACATCAGTTGAGAAGATCACTGTACAAATGCCAGCATCCTTACTGAAGTTAGTGTTCCCAGCATTAAGTCAGTGATCTCCAACCACCAACTTAATTGTGTGCAGATGCCCAATTCTTGACTTCCAACACAAGTGCTCTACTCCCAGCTTAGTAATGGCCTGAGATCTTGTGGTGGCCAGAGGAAACACTACAAGGACATATTTAAGTCATACTTCAAGAAAACACACCAACATCAAGAGTTTGGAGGAGCCAACCAACTCCAATGGCACCACAACCTCAACCAAGCAACAGCCTGTTTTGAGGCAAAGCTTCTTACTCTCAGAGCAGAAAAGAGACAACAGGGGAAGGAAATGGAGATGAATCCCAGCCTGCAGCCTACTCTCCCTGACAGAATTACTTGTAACTCCTGTGGCCAGACCTTTGACTTGAGGATTGAGCTGTTAAGTCACCTCAAGACACAGCAGTGAGTCATATCATACTTGAATTGAGGGATTGCTGACAGTGATGAAGGGGACAGAAAATAGTGGCAGTAGCAACCACTCACAGAGAAGGCATGTATTAGGCTCGTGTGATGGATTCCTTTTTAAATGGGGACTCATCATATAGTAGCCTCTTAAAGGTGACATCAGTTTCAGCCTACTGCTACCAATTTCCTACAAGTTCAATCCTGCTAAAGACCTTCTCCATATGCTTATTGGCTACAGACCCTTGTAGGGCCCTTATTCCATTTGGAGTGGACTAAAGACCTTAAAAAGCCCAGCCAACATGCAATTTAATTTGATCAGACTTCACTCACCAGAGCTGCTCCACTAAGTCCATGAATGGCTGCTGGTATTTTGTATTGCTGCTAGGTCATGCCATTGCTTATTCAGCTGAAGGCACGTTGCAATTCTTCTGCAAAACAATAACATGATCCCCTCCCCCATACTCACAATGCATGATTGCTGAATTCAACCTTCAGGAAGAAATCCAGTTGTAGACTCAGTGATGCAGAACCAAATTCCAAGCAAGGGAGGCTGAGCTCTCATAGTCCCAACTGTCTCATATTGCAGAAGCCAATAGGCACATACTGGAGTAGCAACATACATGTGTGACGGGCTAGCTGGCAGTGACCTAGCCCAGGGGTTTTGAAAGGGCAAAAGATGATTGGAGGACTTGGGATTCCCTTTCCTCACCAATCGGGCCCCAGAGACTCACCTCTCATGTCCCCTGATTGGCCCCTTGGGTCACCTGGAGGGGGATAAAAGGGACAGCACAGCTGACTTAGGGAAAAGACCAGTGAGGGACTATGAGGAAGGAGCTGGCAAGAGCTGAGCCAGTGGGGCGGGAGCAGTTGCCTCAGAAGAGCCTGAAGGAGCAGGACCTGCAGGCAGCAGTTGGACCCTCAGCAGCACAGCGTGTGGTCGTCAGGAGAGGCTTTCTACTGGGCTCCAGGATTCCCTACCAGAGGCTGTAGCCAGCAGGAGCGGCTTCCCCGCTCCAGCAAGGATCTGGGCAGCGACCTGAGAGGTTCCCAGCTCGGCTTCTAGCTCCTCCAATCAGAGACCAGGCAGCTCAACGTGAGGCCGTGGCTCCAGGAAGGTCAAGACCCCTAGCAGCTTGGAGCAGTACCAGCACTGGTGGTTGTGTGGCAGCGTTTCTGCCTGCCACATGGGAGATGAGTTCAAGTCCCAGTTTTGGTGGTTTGGGGTGAGTGAGCTAACAAGGAGAAATTCCTCTTGCAGTAGAAAGGGGCCATTGTGTTTTCTCCCCTTCCAGGTACCTAGGCCCTATATTTCCTTGTCCTTTGGCATTTTGTATTTTGCACTTTTTTTATATTTCTCCAACCAGTATTGTTTGCTCTGTTTGTGTTTTATATTTTGTTAACCCTGTCTTTTGTCAATGATTGTAAGTGTCTAATCGTTTTTGAATCCTGCCCCCTCAGGGCATTGTAGTGTCCACTATACCTCCTGATTATGCCTGTTATGTCCCCAGTATTGTTCCCTCATTAAAAGGTATATGGTTAAGTCCCCAGTGGTGGTCTGGCTCTGCTCTCTAGGGGGAGGAGAGTCTCTACACCTCCCACAGGACTTGTGCACCTGTTTTGATCCCTTCAATTGGAGAGGGGGTACCTTTTGGAGTACTGCCGGGGTTACACACGTATAGTAAGGCCATGAATTTATATACACTCAGTAAACATGATTATGTGAACCCTAGTTAATCCTGTAGCTCTTTTATGTTACATATGTTGTGTAAGGAACCCAACACAGTGACTGGCAACATGATCAAGATGCTAATAACCCATGAATACAGTGAAAGACTTCAAAGCCCTGGTGAAGGTGAAACTTCAGCTTCCCAGTGCATGAATGGAGCTTTCAAAAAGAAAGAGACGAAGCTAAAAATGTCTGGGTCTTTGGGGAAGTGGACTTGTTTCACAGCTCAGTAGGCTCCCTCACACCCCCCGACCTCACCCCCACACTGCCCTGGCATCTATCTCAATACCAGGATCCTGAAACAGTATACAAAAATTGTGTATTATCATCTGTACTCATTTTGAGGCTATCTTGGTAAAAGTGGCTGCAGGGGAATGTTGGGGTTCATATAACTGTTTACTAACGGGATAGCAGGGGTGCAAACATACAGCTTGAAGACCAGTTCCATCCTGCAGAGCCCCATAACCCAGTGCTACCCCTTTTGCTACTCCAGATCATCCCTGCATATAGTACCCAGGATATGTACTGCCTGTGGCACTTGCTGGGGCTGGGTCCAGGCAGCGCTGCCCACAGCTCTCACTCAAGCCAGTCCCAGGCTATACAACATGCAGCAACCACTCAGGCCAGCATCCTGGGCCAGCCTAGGTAGGTGATGCTGGTGCTGGATCAGGCATGCAGGTTGGAGGAGATTGTTCATGGGCTTGACATGGACCATGCATTGCCTGCATACCACTTATCCAGCCCATGAGGCCAAATGAGTTTGACACCCTTGCTGTATAGGAATTCACAACCTGACTACATATATACACTGCTGCTTCAGCAGGGGCCTGGTACAAGAGCTCTTGGGCATTAAAACTCTTAATTTGTTACAATTGGCATTGAAGCCTAATGAGCCTTACTGACCCCAAAGACAAAACAAAACAATTGCTTGTCACGACCCAGTGATTTTTTGTGCCTCAGCACTATGGAATTTCCTGGCCACATGAGAGCTCCTTTGCACAGCAGAGTGTTCTGCTGCAATTAAGAGCCTGCATGCAGGAGAGTTCCCGCCAATTTGCAGTTTCCTTTGCAGGATGCATTTCTTCTTTGCAGCACAGAGATGCACGGTGCAAAGAGTTCCCGCTATTCGGATGCAAATTTGTGCCCCGTTATTGGCCAGTGCTAAATTATTCACACGTGGCGGCTAGTAATTGGCTCGCTGGCCGTTTAAAATTCCGCGTGACTTCCGCCCAAGTCGAAGAGCTTTGAGCACGCTGCAGAGTGTCTCTGAAGTTATCTGACTTGCGGCTGCCGATCGATAGACTGATCACCTATTGATCTTTCTTCCCGTCACCGAGCGCAACCCCAACGTACCCCTTTCCCCGCTGGCTTCGAATTGCGGACGGATTAACTGGCTTGGGCCCCACCAGCTGGAACAACTCGTGTGGTTGTTCCAACGACCGGACCACCTGCGTCGTGATTGCAAGTGGCGTGAGTAAAGTTTTTTACAACCAATAAGTCGTGTCTGCCTCTCCATTCACCAGCCCGCCCTGACGTACGAGCGTAACTCGAGTCGGCCCTGGCCGTCCGAGATATTGCTGAGATTAAGGAAATTCCAAGGAATCCCCTATTACCAATTCCAATGGAGACAACAGTTTTTATAAAAGGAATACAGAATAAATAAATAAAACAATATTAATATATCCAAGAAATTAACAGAGCATTTTTATTTTGGATACTTTAAATGATGTATTCACAAAGGGATTTTATAATGTGTGTGGTCTGGAGGATGAAGCAATCCAAAAAGTGTTAATGAATGAGACAGTCTAGACCTGAAAATGCACATTAGAAATGGTTATATACATTTCTTCATAGATGCTGAGGATATCAAAGAGCAGCAACAGTATCTGAAAAATGAACTAGACATTACAGAGAAAGCTCACAAGGAGAACCCTCAAATACTGCATGTTCAGACTGCAGGAAACAGTGTCTCTGTGCAAATGATTACTTGTTCAAGGACTATATAGAAGCTACAGCACAGAAAACACGCAGGCCAGTGAAAAAGAGCTTTCTCAAAATGTCAGCTTGCAGATGACAACTTGGAGTCTTCTGCAGCATCATTACCACCATATAATTTAAAAGAAACAAACAAATTATTATTGGTATCATTTTACAAATGGAAGAACAAGAATTAGATGGGACTGGATTAAGGGTCTGCAGTCTCTACAATCTCACAGCAGGATCAAAGTGTACTGAAATGAAATGTCACACAAAACTTCAGCACTACTAAAGCAGTATACAGGAGAAATTCTTATATCCCTAGTTCAGGAATGATTGACCTGCAGCATGTGTGCCACAAGTGGCACAGGCAACCTCTGTGTGTGGCACCTGGCAGACTTTGGAGGGGGCTGCAGTCCAGTGGCAGATACAGCAGGGAGCAGAAAACAGAGCAGCATGTTGATCTGGGAGCACAGGGTAGGAAACAGAAAGCATAGTAGTGGATCACCCTTTTATGTTTTATATTCTATGCTTTTTAACTTTGTAACAACTGTATTTTAAGTTTAAAAGTAAGTTGTACCATGTAACAATGTTAGCAAGGGCAGGAATCAAACCACAGCTTCTCTGTATGGAGCAGGTCCCTGAATGAATCTTGATTGATTGTGTAACACAGTAGCTAGACAGGATAACAAGCTAATGAGTGGCAATTAACACCTAGAAACCACAGACTAAGGAGAGGAAAGGATCAATACAGAGCCAGGAACTCCCTGAAACTTCACTCATAAAGGTACAGAAGCCCCAGTTTGAACTGATCACAGCAATTAATTAATCAAACTTCATCAACTGACTCCAAGACTGCATGTACCTGCGGACATGACCCCTGGAGCTAACAGCTGCCATCCAGCAACCACCAAGGGGGACATCCTACAAGGTCAATGACCCCTGGATTGGGTAAGCCCGAAAATTGGGGAGTCACCAAAGTCTGCCAGAGAGGGATAAAAGGCAGCAAAGAATGACCCCCAATGGAACCCCCTCTGACCTGATCAGCACCCTGCCTGCCCAGCCAGAAGGACCAGTCGGCGACCCCCTTCTGAAGCAACATTGCACTGAAAGAAGCTTTAACTGGCCATTGACGGCAGACTCCAGAGGTTGGGGATAGGTATATCTTGACATTGGTGCTTAGTGTTCATAGCTAGCTACTGTGAGTGTGTGTGTGCGTGAATGTGTGTGTGTTTGTGGAGATCAGCCCCAAGGTTTATGATCTGACGTTTGCATCCGTCTAATAAATTAGAATTTTATGATGACCCTGTGAGTTGGTCCTTTGTAGCCAACACATGGTATAATATGTTGGTGTCTGGAACACCAGCCACACCTGCTCTTTGATGCTGAAATGGGATGGGGAGGGAGATATACTAGGGCATTCCCAACACTTAGTGTCACCATGACAATAAGTTGGTCACAGGAGCTAGTGAAGAAGTACTTCAAGATCTTCCCAGAGGCACTGACAAGCCTGCTGGAGCATGTGTAGGAAGCAAACAGGGAGGAACATGAATGTCTCAGCACATCAGTTAATGTTGCAGCTACACCATTAGGTGTGATTATCTTGTGATTTATACCAAATGGCAGTTATCTTTACAGTACCCCAGCTCTTGGCGCACAGCTCTTTCCCCACATTGAACATTTTAACATAAGGTCTTGCCTGACATTCATAGGTTTAAAGAAAAAAGGAACCATACTGATCTGTCACATAGCCTGTCTTGTTGTATAACAGGTGAACAACAAATGCTATAGCTTAACACAAACTAAACCTAACCCAGTGCTGCCCAAGGAAGAAGACAGGCTGATGAATGGCTGCACCAGTGCACAATAACTTCTGGTTCCTGCTGTCATGGCCCACAGAAAACAGGTGAGGATGTATCTGACTAACTAATGTATGTTATCAGTGTGGTTATTCTGACAAATTTCAGGTCATGCATCCCTAGTACATGAGAACTGTAACACAGAGAGGGACAGGGCCTAAAAAGGTGAAGGTAGAAGGGAATGAAAATGGGATAAAACATGGACAGGAGCTAAGAAGCAAGGGGTGTGGGGAGAAACAGAAGGAGCAGGGAGAAACAGAAAGGAGCTGGAGAACAGGAACAAAATGGCCTCTTGGTACTAGAACACACTCCCCTGCAGGGCCTGGCACTGAGCCCATTGTACCCAAGACACTATTTGTCTGCTGTGTGCAAACATCTAAGAACCCCACTGGCAGAGCAGGTCTCTTCACCCTCTAGCAGATTGATAGAGAAGATAACAGTTCCCTACTGCTACCAATTACTCCATTTGCTCAAGTGGCAGAGATCTGTGGCATAGATCTAATGACCAATGTGCATCCGGTGGAATCCAGTCTGGTTCCATGATAATTTTTTATTGTCAATCTTAACTATTCAGAACAAAAAAATACCTCCAAATGAGCTGCAACCTGATTGGTTTTGTAATGTAGTCAAGCACTCAAATGAAGAAATAACACAATTAAAGCGGTCTGCACAACCTTCGTTTGACCTTCTGCATAAGGAATATTTCCACTGAACCCTGCCATATTTAGTGCACAGGATGGGCTGTACTCTAAAGCAGGATGCCTGCATCATTTGTTGCAGAATTTGGAATGTGCATCTTGAAGAGGCAGAGAAATCCAGGGGTGTTAGTTGTAGCCCTGTTGGTCTAAGGACATAGGCAGACACAGTTCTTTGGGTAAATCTGATACCTTTTATTAGACCAACTAAAATAGTTGGAAAAATTCTTCTTTACAAGCTTTTGGGTAAAAACACCCTTCATCAGGCTGTGAGAGCATCTTTAGTTGTTTTGTGTTCTTGGATGGGATAGAATGCAGGCCAGTGAAAATGGGGGTGGGGAGGCACTGCAGTGTGCTGTATGGGGCCGGCGGTGCCCAGTGTGCCCTTCCCCATCCCCTGGATAAGAAGCAACGTACCAGGGGAAATGCCGCCACCACATCCTGAGGCGCACTCTGTCCACACCTGCCTGCATACCCCCGATGACCTTTCCAAGTACCCCAGAGGTATGCGTACCCCTGGTTGACAACCTGTTTTACATCATTGGCTCCACAACCATAACATCCACACAAGTCTTCCTCCCAGTCATCAAATGGACTCTGTGTGTTAAACAAACTGCTTCCCCTGTGTTCAGGGGCATCCAGTCCAGTGCCCCAGCTAGCTGTTCAACTTGTCCCACAGCCTACTCTTGGCTGCAGCTCAGAACCCATAAGCCATGGGGACATTTCCACACCGGGCTTTACCCACATGCACATCTCCCTTCTAGCTTGTGCATCACAGTTGATGCCATGCAGACCTGCATCTCTGATCTGCCTCACCCTGTTGAATTTGCTGGTCTCTGGGCTTTCACTGGTTTGTCTGCAGAAAAATAACAGGGATTGCCACTCCTGCCCGCCTATATGGCTATGAGGGGCCCACAGACACATTTATCCCACAGGATATAGAGTAGAGGTAAGGTAACTGGCAAATGCAGGTAACAGGACAAGGAACAGGTTCCCCCTTCCCCCAAATTCAGTACTGCCTGGTCCCTCCCAAGCAGCACCCTAGGACCAGCTGCAACAAATGCAGCTGCACTGGCTACCATAGGACTTACAGCACTGGGCAGGAAGGTTCTTGGGAATGGCCCAGAAACCTCAGGTAGAGAGGGACTGGCTACAGGGCTCTGGCCAGTAGGGAGCACCTCCAGAGGAAAGAGGATTTTTTTCCTATGCAGGGTGACCACATTTTGATTCAGCTCCTTTGCAAGGGTAGAACCTGAAGATAGGGTAAGATGCCTGGTCTCAAACCCCTGTAGATGTTTAAGGAGACTGAACAAGGGGCAAAGGCCCAGATCCACAAAGGGATCACTCAAGGAATTTCCAACATCCAGTGCTCCAGGCACAGATCAGCCCAGCAGGTGCCTCCTGCAGCAGCCTCATGCCCCACATTAAGAGGTGAGGGGGAGGGCAAACATGACTGTAGTGCCATGGTTAGAACAGCAGAATGAGCCCCTCCTGCATGAGATCACTCCCAGCACTCCTGCAGAACTTATGCACAGCAAGCAACATAGGATTAGCAATAGCCAACAGATCAGTTTTTATTAAGGGTCAACTGAGGCATGAGCATCAATCACGTGCTGCTGCTGTGGGAAGGTTGGCATAGCTCTTCATGGGTGGAAGTGGTTTGATCTTGCGTCCAGCCCAGCCACCCTTTCGGTGCCGAAGACCAGTATGCGGACGCCTCCCCAGCCAGCGGCTCCGGCCAGCTTTTCCAATAACCCGCTTGTGGTGATCAACGTTGGAAACTCGGCCCACAGTGGCGATACAGGTCTCCAGCACCTGTGAGGAAGAAAAGCAAGCAGTAGAGGTGCATGGACAACTCTCTGCCTCAGAGCCCCTCTATCTGTACTCTGAGCCCTGCTCCACTCCATCCTGTGAGCCCAAGTCCAAGCTCCCTCTTGTACTCCAACCCCTGCTCTACTCTCTCCTTCTTTGGATATGTGGGAAGCATGACAATCACAAGGAGAGTGGTTATCAGACTCCCATTGCCACCTCCAGAGTGGGCAGACACAAAACCATGGATCTCCAATCCTGTGGTCACCCTGCCTGGGACCATGGTGCCAGAGAATACAAGTAAGACCAAGAACCACAGCCCCAGAGGCCAGTTAACAGGTTTCCCCTCACCCTACAGAGTACAGTGAGTTGGGGGCCAGAATCTGCCCAACTGAGAAGGAGGTGCTCTGAGTCTATAGGACCCTGGCTCTAGTGGCCCATACTGAGGACAGACATTCATGGCCTAGTCCAGGCTCAGGGTGGTGCCAGACCCTGGCAAAGGCCACATCTCCTCATTTGCTGAGATTGCAGACCCAGCCCACAGCCATTAGTAAGTCCAAAGCAGAGAGGCCTTGGCATGCCCTCTTACCACCTACCTGCATGTGTCTCTTGGAAGGCAGCTGTACAATGGCAGTTCCATTCACCTTCCTCAGTAACACCCCACAGGTTCCTGCAGCACACGAAGGAGCAAAAGGCTGGGTTATGGCTTCCCTTAGCAGGCATCCCTGCAGAGATTCAATGTACCCCAAAAACAGACTGAGCCTCCTTCTGCAATACTGTGCATGTGTAGTGGCTCCTTTAGATGTATGCAGAGCACCCCTACCTCCCACACACTGAAGAAGAGTGACTCTGGGACGCCACCAAGATGCATGGTGCAGGCACACCAGGAAGGAGTGTCCCAGGCCCTTAGGGTAGAAATCCTGCCTCCTGCCCAAGGACTATAGCTGGCATTGGGCAATGCAGCTCACGCCAGCTGGGGTAGGACTTAGTTCCCCTCCCCAAGCAGATGTAGTAGTACAGGCAGTGAAGGGGAACAAAATAGAAACTTTCACCGCCATTATGTGTAAGCAAGCAGATCACGTATGCTGCATAAACTATCAAAAAGTGAAGGACATAACTCGAAACAGTAAGGCTAGTGCAAACTAGAATAAACTGGCTTTTATCAGCTCTAAGTTACTCAGTAAGGGAAATTTAAATTAGCAGCAAGTGGCGATTGTTGATTGGTGAAGCTGTTGCTGTGATGATATCGTCATGTTTCCCATATAATGCTTTGTGTAATTTGAGAAGTGCAACAGGCAATTTCCCTGCAGGGCAGTTGTCTGTTCAGAATGCATTCTTTAATAAATCAAGTCTTTAAACTTATGTTGTGGTTCGTCTGAGCCTCCGCCCAACGAACCCAGGGATTTAGATTTTTTTCCCCCCCAACAGCAGCAGGCTAAACGGAGCAGGTTAATCCTTTGCAAGGTCACAGGAAAACTGTATAAGCAGGGATCCTGGTTTTCTCTGATTAAAAATGGCAAATTCTCTGATTAAAAACCCAAAATCTATGATAAAAATCAAAGGCCCCCACAACCCCCCTGTGCTGCTGGTGCCCCGCACAGTCTCAACAGCCCTCCTGATGCCCCTTGCAACAGCCCCCCAGACACATAGGCTCAGACACTGACACCTACCCCAGCAGGTAAGTGTGTGTGGGGGGGAAGGGGCTGGGGGGAGTGTGCCCCTGTGCCCACTCCTAGGAGCAGGGCCAGGGGGTGAGGGCAGGGGTGCCACACTGTGGGCCACACGTGCCAGCCAGCCTGACAGGGGGTTTGCACATGGAGGCTACCACCACAACTCTGCCACTGCATCCTGTGCTACCATCCCTGGGAGCAGAGCCAGGGGGTGAGGACAGGGGTGCCCCTCTGTGGGGGGCAAGTGATGCGGGTTGCAGTGTGATGGTGTCCGCCATGTGCGGGCTGCACACGTGCCGCCCAGCCGCCTGCCCAGGGGAGGGGAAGTGGGAGGCTGGCATGTGGCCGGAGCTGTGGAGCCATGCCTGGAGCTATGTGGCCGGCCACTGGGCAGGAAGTTTTGCAGGCAGCGGCTGTCACCGCTGGCACAGCCCTCCAGTAAGTGGCAGTGGCAGCTGCATGCTGTAGTTTTTTCCATCTTTCTGTGGGAAGCAGAAAACCCGGATCCCTGATAATAAGCAAAGCAATAGTGAGGACTCTTCTGACTCTGGGCCAAGGATCTGCACCAAAACTAAAGCCCTAGGATGCCACTCTAGGATCAGTGTTGGTCACCTGGTACTATAGCCCCCACAGGTCACCATCTCCTTGGGGACAGGTAGCCCTGCTGTCCATCTCTGACCAGCACCAGGCACAGAGAGCTGCCCAGGCCACGGGAGGAGTTAGAAAAGTGCCTGCCTGTATCTAGTCACTAGGCTGCTCCAAGCAGTTTTGCTGCCACTCTCAAGCAGAGTGACAAGGCCAAAGGTCCTTGAGCTGTGGCTGGGACCTCCAAAGGAACCTCTCTCAGCCCAGTCCACTACATACCTGCTGCTCGGATGTACTGTGCTCCCTTCTCAGGGTGACTCTCCAGACAGCTGATTAGGGTCCCCACAGGCAGAGCTCCTAATGGATATGCATCCCCCTCTTTGGCGGAGACTGGAAGACAAAATGCCCACCAAGCTGACAGATCACAGAGTCCAAGGTGGGCTTGATGGGGCTCCTCCATCGCCAACATTTGGAACCCACAGGGCCAGGGCAATGTCCCTCCTAAATCCACTGAACCCCAAGGTTAGAGGGAACAACACAAGCCCCAAAGCAGCAGTCTTCCTAGACCCTCCCACCCTGCCCTCTATGGGGCAATACAGGACTTGCTTCTGCAATCCATATACCAGAGCAATTCTTATGATATCACCTGGAACCCTGCAGCAAGAGTGCTACAACCCAACATCCAACCAAGACTCGGCTGAGCACAGGGCTGGCCACTTTACATGAAACAGCTGCAAATCCTGGGTGACATGATGCAACATGACGTGTTGTGATTGGAATAACAGGGACTTGGTGGGATTGCTCACATGACTGGTGCACTGTCACGGATGGGTATAAACTGTCTGTCCTTCCTGAACAGGAGGGGAAGAGGAGTTGCGCTGTATGTGAAGGCTGTATGATTGATCAGAGCTCCAGTATGAAACTGGACATAGGCCTGTTGAAAGTCTCTGGGTTAAGGGTACAGGGGAGAGCAACAAGGATGGTGTTGTGGTGAGGGTCTGCTACAGACCACCAGACCAGGGGTGATGATGCTTTCTTCAGACAACTAGCAGAAGTTTCCAAACCACATGCCCTGGTTCTCATGGGGTGACATCTACTGGGAGGGCAATACAGCAGTGCACAGGCAATCCAGGAATTTTTTGAAGAGCATTGGAGACAACTTCCTGGTGCAAGTGTTGGAGAGACCAACTAGGGGCCATACTCTTCTTGACCTATTGCTCACAAACAGGGAAGAATTAGTGGAGGATGTAGAAGTGGATGGCAAGTTGGACAGCAGTGACCACAAGATGATTGAGTTCAGTATCCTGGGGAAAGAAAGAATGGAGAGCAGCAGAGTAAGGACCCTGGACTTTAGAAAAGCAGACTTTGACTTGCTCAGGGAACTGATGGGCAGGATCCCCTGGGAGGTCATTTTGATGGGGAAAGGAATCCAGGATTGCTGGCTGTATTTTCAAGAAACCTTACTGAGGGTGCAGGAACAAACCATCCCGATGTGCAGGAAGACTAGCAAAAACGGCAAGTGACCAGATGGGCTGAGCAGGGAACTCTTTGGCGAGCTTAAAAACAAAAAGGAAGGTTACAAGAAGTGGAAGCTTGGACAAACAACTTGGGAGGAATATAAGAATATTGCTCGGCCATACAAGGATGAAGTCAGGAAGGCCAAAGCACAATTGGGAGTTGCAGCTAGCAAGGGATGTGAAGGGTAAGAATTAGGGTTTCTACAAATATGTTAGCAACAAAAGGAAGGTCAGGGAAAGTGTGGGTCCCTTACTGAATGGGGGAGGCAACCTAGTGACAGATGATGAGTAAAAAAATGGAAATCCTTAATGCTTTTTTAAAATCTGTCTTCACAGGCAAGTTCAGCTCCCAGACTACTGCACCAGGCAGCAGTTTGGGGAAAAGATGAACAGCTCTCAGTGGAGAAAGAACAGGTTAAGGACTATTTAGAAAAGTCCATGGGGCCAGATGCAATGCATCTGGGGGCGCTGAAGGAGTTGGGTGATGTGAGCGCAGAGCTGCTGGCCATTATCTTTGAAAACTTGTGGTGATGAGGGAAGGTCCTGGACGATTAGAAAAGGGCAAACAGTGCTCATCTTTAAGAAAGTGAAGAAGGAGGATCCAGGAAACTACAGACTAGTCAGCCTCATCAGTCCCTGGAAAAATCATGGAGTAGGTCCTCAAAGAATCCATTTCTAAGCACTTGGAAAAGAAGGTGATTAGGAACAGTCAGCCAGGATTCATCAAGGGCATGTCATGCCTGGCCAACCTGATTGCCTTCTATGATGAGATAGCTGGCTCTATGGATACAGGGAAAGCAGTGGACATAATATACCTTGACTTTAGCAAGGCTTTTGATATCATCTCCCACAGATTTCTTGCAAGCAGGCTGAGGAAGTATGGGTTGGATGAATGGACTGTACAGTGGATAGAAAGCTGGCTGGATTGTCCGGCTCAACAGTTAAGTAATTAATGGCTCAGTGTCTAGCTGGCAGCCAGTATCAAGTGGAGTGCCCCAGGGGTCAGTCCTGGGGCCAGTTTTGTTCAATATCTTCATTAACAATTTGGAAGATGGGATGAATTGCACCCTCAGCAAGTTCACGGATGACACCAACCTGGGGGGATGTAGTAGATACGCTAGAGGGTAGGGTTACGATTCAGAGTAACCTAGACAAACTGGAGGACTGGGCCAAAAGGAATCTCATGAGGTTCAAAAAGGACAAGTGCAAAATCCTGTACTTAGAACGGAAGAATCCCATGCACTGCTATAGGCTGGGGACTGACTGGCTAAGCAGCAGCTCTCCAGAAAAGCACCTGGGGGTTACAGTGGACAACAAGATGGATGAGTCAGCAATGTGCCTGTGTTGCCAAAAAGGCTAACAGCATACTGGGCTGCATTAGTAGAAGTGTTGCCAGCAAATCAAGGGAAGTTATTATTCTCTTCTATTCAGCACTGGAGGCCACAGCTGGAGTACTGTATCCAGTTTTGGGCCCCCCACTATAGAAGGGATGTAGACAAGGTGGAGACAGTCCAGTGGATAGCAATGAAAATGGTTCAGAGGCTGGGGCACATGACTTCTGAGAAGAGGCTGAGGGAACTGGGCTTATTTAATTTGCAGAAGAGAAGACTGAGGGGGGGATCTGATAGTCTTCATCTACCTGAAGGGGGGTTACAAAGAGGATGGAGCTGGGCTGTTCTCAGTGGTCTCAGATGACAGAACAAGGAGCAATGGTCTCAAGGAGCAAGGGAGGTTTAAGTTGGATATTAGGAAATATTCTCTCACTAGGAGGGTGGTGAAGCACTGGAACAGATTACCTTGAAAGGTGATGGAATCTCCATCCTTGGAGGTGTGTAAGGCCTGACTAGAATGATCTAGTTGGGGATGGTTCTGCTTTGAGGAGGGGGTTGGACTAGATGACCTCCTGAGGTCCCTAGGATTCTATGATTCTGTGGCATGACCCCAGGGGACCGGTTTGTCATCTGGTCTCTGGAGACATGCTGAATTACTGACAAGAACTCTGCCCTCTACCCAGGCTCCTGTTGTCTCTTTCCTCCTGACAAATCCTGCATAAAAAAGTCAGTAAGAGACAGCACTGTAGCCCTTGCCCTTGAGAGAAGCCAGGTCCTGTCTCCTGGGATTTGCCCAGCAGGCGTGTGACAAAACAAAACCTGGCTTCCCTAGTCCCTACACTTTGGTGTAGAGACCCTGGGTTGCTCACCTGCCATCCTGCCTATGTGTCCTGAGTTTTGGATGATGTCACCAGGCTGCATGTTCTCTGTTGCAATGATCCAGCGTTTACGGTTGCCCCCAGCCACCAGGGCGATATCAGCTGACCTGCCACAGACAACAAGGGAGCTTGTCAAGGGCCCTAGGGTGGGTGGGTCTAGCTGGACCTCCACCCTCCCTGGGCCCCCACAAGACAAGAAACCTTCAGCCCTCTCACAGGTTCTCCAAGCCCCACATGCTACTTCCTGCCACCTATGAGTCCTCACAGGCCCATGCACTGTGATTCCAGACTCCACCATTCTCCCTACCTTGAAATCACTTTGCTGCTACCTACCTGCAGGGATCATACCGGACAGCGATCACCTTCTCTGCAAAGGGGCCTGGCTCAGCCCCATCCTCGGGGCGCAACCGTTTAAAATCAATCATGCGGTAGCGCTGTTTGTGTCCCCCACCAATCCCATGCACCTGGATACGACCTGCAAAAGAAGAGCTGCTCCTGAGGAGGCACCATGCATGCTTGACACAATCCAGTAGGATGTGTGCATCACCTCAATGCTTTCCTGAGATGCCCAGATGGGCTGTCTCCTGCTTCCCCTGTCCTATTACACTCATTTTACATATTAAAATAATTGTCTGATGGCACTGGGACACCTGTACCCTTTCTGTAACTCCTTATTTCAGTATATTCTTGACACTAATAGATTGCCCTCAACTGCATACAGGGGAGCAAGGAAGGCACCAGACACACCAGAGCTGTTGTCACAGAGTCATAGAAACCGGTCTTTCCCCAGCTCTACTGTAGGGGCCAGATGGGACAACAGGCCATCTCCCCTCAGGGTGAATGGGGTCACTGTAGACATAACTCCAAAATCCATTCTCCCCAGCTGCTTCTGTCTAGCAAGCCAAGCAGGCTGCTGTGAATCTTGCACTCTAGATGTACCTGTGTGATCACGGCCTCCGGTCTTTTTCATGCCAATGGGCCTGGTGGTGTACTTGATCCTGCATTTCCACAAGGGGTTGTTGGTGGAGAGGACAGCACAGGTGCTGAACCCATGGCATGCAGAGAGGAGCTGCCCCCCAAGACAGGGATGCTTGGGTTGCAAGGCTACCTGGGAAATCAAAAGCAAACAGCAAGAATTCAAAGAACAGAACCCTAGAATAAAAGGGAACTTGCACAAGAAAAGTGAGATACACACATGCCATGCTATTATAGAGGAATGCTGCAGGCCCTCACATGGCCCTGCCTTCTTGTGCTCCTCCAGAAAGAGAAACTTATGGCCAAAATACAAATATTCGCCAAATACAGGGATGGCGATACTAACCTGCCCCCACCTTCATTCTGTCCCTGTGGGCACAGACAGCACTATCCTGGCACTCTGCCTACCCCTCGTACACAGCACAGCTCCTATTCAGCACTCTTGTTCATGCAGCCCCACAGACCTCCAGGCAGCACTTGCTACTGCTTAAATTACACAGCACAGCACAGCTGAGCAAGAGGAACAGCACTGTCATTCCCTGGAACCAGAGGGCAAAGGGTGGGTGTGGGGCTTGTAAATGTCATCTTAATTTTGTTCTGCCTCTTTCCCTAGGGTTGTGCTCCTGCAGCACTAGTCCTCCTGTCCGACTCTGCACATTTACTAGAGGTTTAAATTCCAGCTAAATGTTTCCAGGCCTATGTATCAGCTTCAGGATGCCCCCTGGGTGGGTGCAGGGGCTGTATCTGGGGAATGCTGTAAGCAAAGAGGCACACATTTATACCGGACACTAGCCGTGCCTCTGATTTGGTACAGCCAACCCAAGGCAAGGCTAGCTCCTGGCAGAGGAAGACTTGCCAGCCCTCTGCCAACATGCGAGGGGCTTCTTCCCACTAAAGCAGTCTTCAAAGACTTTTTGTTCTCCCTCCAAGGCCCACGCCTGGCACAGGTGGCAGACCTAAGCCTCTGCCCCAAGTAGCAGACCCACTGAGCTGAGACTGAGCCGCTGGTACCAGGGGTGCTGGCTGCCATGCAGGGGGAGCCCCGTCCACGGACGGGGAAGAGCGCAGCCGGGGAAAGGGAGCAGTCAGAGCTGGTACCTGGGAAAGACGAGGGCCCGAGGTCAGCAGCAGGGCCCCGAAGGCCTGCGTCAGGCTAGACACAGCCATGGCTCGCCCAGCTGCAGAGGAAGCAGACAGCGGAGCCTGAGCGAGTAACACGGCCCCGGCCCGGCGGGAGGCGCAGCGCTGGGATGGTGGCGCGG